TGGTCTGGGACGGTTCAGGCTGACCCACTCTCCACCTACGCTGTCGACTATGGGAGATGCTGTTCAAACCAGCTACTGATGTCGAACATCCTCTCTTCTGTCCCTCTCCACCATGCCCCAGCTCTGTCCTCAAGACAGCTCCCCAGCCTGCTCATTAGAAGAAAAATTCATTTTTCATAGCCTCCTCAGCTTGCCTTGGCAGAAGGCTAGAAGGACATTTCGTTTATTTCGCCTTAAAAATCCATGATGGCATCTTCTCGAAGTTTTCATCAACATCTTACTTGGCCCCAGCTGAGATATGATTTCCATCAAGGAGCAGCTTGTCTTTTTTTTTGAGACGGAGTCTCACTCTGTTGCCCCGGCTGGAAGGCAATAGCATGATCTTAGCTCACCACAACCTCCGCCTCCTGGGTTCAAGCAATTCTTCTGACTCAGCCTCCTGAGTAGCTGGGACTACAGGCACGCACCACCATGCCTGGCTAATTTTTGTATTCTTAGTAGAGACAGGGTTTCACTACGTTGGCCAGGGTGGTCTCAAACTCCTGACCTCATGATGCATCCGCCTCGGCCTCCCAAAGTGCCCAGCCCAGCAGCTCATTTTTAGAAGGAAAGTGCCCTGGGGGTGGGCATCTGTTTTGCTGAGCATTTGAAATTTATCTGAACAAGGGGGGTCAGTCCAGGTGACATTTGGCATTTAAGTCATTCCTAAGTGGCCCCATTTCTTTAAGCAGAAGCTCAAGCCTTGGCAGCTTGCCTGTATCTTTTACTGTTGTGCTAAAAAATACAGTCTTTTTTATTTTTAATAAAATAATAAATACAATCTTTCACTGTCGTATAAAAAAAATACAAAAATTAACCGGGTGTGGCGGTGGGTGCCTGTAATCCCAGCTACTCGGGAGACTGAGGCAGGAGAATCGCTTAAACCTGGGAGACGAAGGTTGCGGTGAGCCGAGATCACGCCACTGCACTCCGGCCTGGGCGACAGAGCGAGACTCCATCTCAAAAAAGAAAAAGAAAAGAAAAGAAAAAGAGATGTAGTCATGTTTTTAAAGATGTCGTGTTTTGGTACACTAAGTACCTGCCTTCCAAACTCTTCTGCGGAAACCTATCCCTTTTCTTCTCCATCCCCAAGCTCCTGTGGAAACTGCCTTGGCCTCGTGCTGCTATGGCCACAGAGGATCAGGATAGCCATCAGAGCCCAGCTGGGCAAGATGTCCCTTTCCCAGGATTTTCTTACTTGACATCAGGGAAACCAGCCAGCTTTGTGTACAAATGCAGGTGGTGAGCTGGTTGTCTGTCACCTGGGGAAGGCTGCCCCCAAGAACAGGAAAGAGAACATAGGCTGCATGCAAGGGCCACACAGGCCAGACCCGAAGCCTAGTTCTGCTGCTGCTTTGTCTTAGGCAGCCCTCTGCCCGGGTATGCAGCTCGTGGGTGTGAGATCTGATATCCTTCCAATAAGATCCCTTTCCATTTAAGCTATTTGAGCACATTTCTGTTCTTTGCAACCATGCATCCTAACTAATAAAAAATGCAGTTAAATCTGTGGGAATATACCCCAAACTGTTCCCAATGTCCTTTCCAGTGAGAGTCCCAGAATGGAGAACTTTACTATCCCATGCATTTTGCAATGCTAGGATTTTAATTGCTTAGTTTTACAACAAGCATACAGTTCTTTTGAAATCAAGAAGTTAGAGCTCACTAGAAAAAAACCATAAAAAGCATTTCATGTCTATATCTTGTTCTCATAGAACCTAAAAGGTAAGTGATGAGGACATTTGAGGAGGACTGATCATAATGCTGTCATGTCAAGGATGTGTCTGGGCTGAGTCTCTAGAGCTCACTAACACCATTAAGCATTTGTCCCAAGGACTTTGGATAGACTCTCCTGATACATGGATGGAAAAGCACCTCTCTTCAGTAAAGATGACTGTTTCAGCCAGATCTAGTCTGACTCTCATTCCTGAAGCTTACTGATGCCTGTTCTAACTAGGTGGCTGTTTCAAAACATTCACCCTTTCAATGGACATTATTTCACTCTCCTCAACCATTTTTTCTGCCCCAATGAAACTTTATCTTAATCCAGACTAGTTCAAAGAGTGAGAGCTGGGCACCTCTTGAGCTCTGCTGCCACCCAGTCCAATTTGGGGATTATATCCCAGAGTGAGTGGCCACACAGGCAGCACCCTGGCTGCCAGGAAGTACCCAGGGGCTCACGGCAAGGCTGCAACCACCATTCTCACAGCTCTCCCCGATCCCCATCTGGTGCCGAGACAAGGGACTCAATTTCAGTCTCTGAGAGTGCAGACTTGCTGTGGCCGATCCTGTCTGGGCAACAGTTCCTTTGTGGACTGAGAGCAATGACTACGCTGCACAGAAGGAGCTGAACCGTGAGGCCTGCTGCAGAGGGTGGGCTTGTCCAAGGATTCTATTTCCACTTCCCAACGCTTTAGTCCTTGTGCCTCTTTGTCATGATATGTTGATAAAGCCATCCAGGCAATCAACCTAGTCACTCTGTCCATAAGACCATTATACTTTCTGATGAGGCCATGGCTATATTTTTCAAAATGAAATAGCACTGATCCTGGGCTCCTGCCAACAGTCAACTGAGGGTTGGCTATCACTTTTATTCTCCTTGCTGGTTAACTACCCCTCTGCTGCTCCTCTCTATAACCATTAACCCTCCTGTCGTTAGGAGCTGCCTATGGGCTGCCAGAAATGCTGCTGGAGGTGCAATACTCAGCGTTCCTTTCCTGAACCCTTGAGGAGCAACTGATGGACACTCTGATTAGACCTCTTTAAGCTGGGTGGTTACAGTGGGGGGAAAGGGATTTGCTGGGCCACATAAAGCTCCAACTCAGAAAGATCCTTTTCTTTATTTTCATAAACTTGACATGGGGGAATGTTTGAGCCAGAATGGCAAGATTTACAAACAAAATTACTATAATTATCATAATTATGAAAGCAGTCTGGTGGTTTTGGGACTTTATTCTAAACCCACGTTTAACATAAAGCAGTCTAATTGCATCAGGTTCTAAGAATGTAGAGTGACAAATGAATGCCCCACGTGTGGTTCTTCTGTACTCAGAGCTGCTCTGATTTGGGCGGGAGGGTAAAAGTGATTTTTAAAGGAGAACTGGGTGAAATTGGAGCTAAAGCCCTCTGTATTTGATGGGAAGACCTACTTGAGACCGAAATTAATTTAAGAACCATTCTTTGGTGAGGTTATCCTTGGAAACAATGACTCTGTGTTTTGAATTTATCTCAATCTGCAGAAACATAGGATCCCAAATTAAATTTCTCTAAGAAAACAGTCTCAAAATCAAGGCTAACCTGTAAGTTCAAGTACTTCTAACAAATATTCAAAAGCTAAATAGATGGTGATAAAACTGTTCTCACTCCTGACTGGTTCTAAATTCGTCTCTGATTTAGAATAAAACCCCAAAATTCTTTTTGGGGGTAGGGAGGTTTGAACAAATGATCTGTGGCACAAACCTCATAAGCTACTGAAACAGCACACATTTCCTATCAAGCAAATTCCTATGTTCACTAATGAAACAATACGGCATCACTGACAACATGAGAAGTACATTTCTGTACTAAATAAACACACAAATTATAGATAACACACATCTGGAAGAGTCATTAAGAAGAGCATCTGCTTTCTGTGTTTACACAGTAGGATCTGGTTTTATGAAAAAAATTGTAATCTGTGCTTCACTGAATGAGACAATTGTTGCTAAAGTAAAGAAGACTCAAGTCCCGGTTGTTTGTGGGCACCTGGCTGAGCGTATTCCTGGGCATGTCCCCTCCCCTGGGACACCTGGGCCAGTACAGGTAAATGGACGCACTGAGGGAGATGGTGGGTCCTACGGTGGGGAAAGAGAGAGGGAACATTCAGTTGCTTTCCAGCACCAAGAAAGCATCAGTATTTCTCCTCTGGCTCTCAATAGTCAATGTATCTTTATGCAGTTCTGGTCGCTTAGACTGCAAGTAGACACTGCTTTGTTATATCATGAGATCCAATGTGGGAAGGGCAATATGCTCGGTGCTGAAATCCCGGGTTCCCGTCCAGGTTTCCCTCTTATCACCGAGCAGGTCACTGACAGATCTCTGAGCCAAGGGTTCCTCACCTGTGAAAACGGGGTAAGTTACCCTTCCAAGTCTTTCACTATTTGGCAATTATGTAAGAATCTCTAACAAAGTGTCTTCTAGACTGAGGACTGGTAAATAAAGGGAAGGCATTCAAGTTTTTAGGGCTTTGGTGGCAAGAAATGAGAAGGGAAGTAGAAAGGGTTTCATTCTGACTCTCCACTCCCATCCAAAAGAATCAAATGACTTCAGCAAATTATGCTCAGCAAGGTCTTCGCTGCTCTCTTCCTCATCTTTTTCAAGCACCCACTTTAATTTCCTAGATTCACAGACAGTGAACTTGACCTCAGGTTCATGACTGAGTGTCTGTAAGCACATGCTGTGAATGCCGCATCATTCCATAAGGCAAAAGAGATGGGAGGAGAGGCTCTTGCCTAAGAAGAGCTTATAGAGGATGGAGGCACAAGAGGACGGGAGAGAGATGTCTGGAACTAGGATGGGCTGGGCTGGGCCTCGGGACCACAGGGACCATTTGCAGCAAACGGGTCTCGGCTACCCTAAGTGCTTCCTGGAGATGATGACTTACAAAGAAATGAAGAACAGAACAATGTAGGAGAAAATGGATCCAACAGAAAGGTAGGTTTGCATTCCATCTCTACCACTTTCCACAGCAAACCTCTCCTCTCTCGACTGCAAGTTCCACATTGGCAAAGCGAGAGGGCCACTTTCTAGCTCTTCTGTTCTGATCTTCTGACTCCTTTTTGAATGGAGCATGCTGCAAGCCAGAATCTATGTCTGCCTTTTCCCAAGCCACACAGTCCCCAAGAGCTGGGTCACTGCACACCAAGTCCAGTGAATAGATGCCAGGTGGACACACGCCCGCCCCGGGGCAGAAGGCTGAGCATTACCTGGTGTGGCTGTTGGAGGAGAGGCTCTCCCAGGGCTGCACGCTGCAGCCGGCCACGGCAAAGGCTCCTCCACAGCTGCCGTCCAGCTTCATAAGCAGGGCCTTGGCAGCGTTCTCAGCTGTCTTCCGGCAGTCATGAGCTCGCTTGAGCATCTGAGTGATGTTTTCATCCCCCGACTGGTCTCCTATGTGGCAGAGAAGCCAATGGATTAATCAACATAGGTCTGGACAAGGCACGCCTGGGAGTGACTGTGCATAACTAACTCTCAGTTACTTAGGGCAGAGGTGGCGTTGTGGAGGGGCATCAGCAGTGCCCAGCCGAAGAGAAGATCTGTGTTCTGGGCCTGGCACTGTCACTTAGAAGCTGCACATGGGAAGGTTATTTCTCTGCTCTTTCTCTGGGCTCCACTGGCCTCAGGGACAAATGTAGGAGCTGGCCAATGGGATCACCACATTTCTGTTTCCAGCTCTAACATGCTCTGATTTTTCTAATGATGCAGGCTCCTGGCTTCTCCTCCCATTCAGCCACAAGTCTACCATTTGGCCATTCCTCTGTGCACTGGCACTTCCCTGTGAAGGAGGGAGGGAGAAACTGGGGCAAAACTGTGCCATCTTTCCACATGTCTACAGCTTTGATTAGAGTCCTGTGTGGGGGCAAGAGAGACAAAACTAATGGTTCAGACGAGAGCTTTAGATCGGCTCTGTATTATATGTACCGATGCCACCCCTGACCCTTCTCTTGGCTTGGTAATCGTGGTGAACTCAAATGCCTCCAGGAGCCAGGTAACTGGGCTAGTGCAGAACATCAGGGTGTGGTGGGCACTTGCACAGACCAGGCAGTGAAGTCCCTGCCCAAAATGTTCACATTGCTATCGTGTTTTAAAACTGTGCTGGAAAAGACAAAACTATAGAGATAGTGAAAAGATCATGGGTGCCTGAGCTGAGGTGGGAGGACTGCTCGAACCTAGGAGTTCAAATACAGCCTCGGTAACAGAGCAAGACCCTGTCTCCAAAACGACAACAAGAACAACAGCAACAACAATGGTTGCCAGGGGATGGGGGTGGGGGACGAATGAATAGGTGGAGCCAGAGAACGTTTAGGGCAGTGAAACTACTCTGTATGATACTATAATGGCGGACTCAAGTTATTATACATTGGCCCAAACCCAACAATGTACAGGACCAAGAGTGAGCCCTGACGTACACTATGGGCTCTGGGTGATGATGATGTGTGACTGTAGGTTCATCACTTGTAACTAATATACTACCCTGATGGGGGATGCTGAAAATGGGGGAGGCCGTGCATGTTGAGGGTTGGAGGCATATGGGAAATCTCTGTACCTTCCTCTCAGTTTTGCTGTGAACCTAAAACTGCTCTAAGAAACAAAGTCTTAAAAAAAACAAAACAAAACAGAAACTGCTGGCTGAACAAATCACTAGTTTGCTACCTGTACAGCACAGATCCACGCTCTTCCAAATATTTTAAAAGGAAATCTTACGCCAAACCATACAAAATGCTATTCTAACATACAAACAAGATAAACGTGGAATTGGATGAAGTGGGCAGAAGTGGGAGACGCTCAGAGTCCCACCCTCCAACCCCACTGCCGAGGCCCAGAGAAACTCCTCCAGCTTCCCAGGGCACAGTTTGAAAACCACTGGCCTAAAGCATCTGTGAATGAAACAATGAACAAAATGAATGCCTGTGACATCAACAAGAAACAAAGAAAAGACCCACAATCACAGACCCTGTGGGTGCACGTCACAAACGAGTTCTTGCTTTGCCGTGCGGCAACTCTACGGCATGATGGGGCCGTATGATGGGCCAGCTGCTGCCGTCAGCAGAATGCAAGGGCGAGGCTGAACGGGGAACTGCTTAAAATCAAGCCCGCCCTCAGCACTACAGAGAATGGGCAGGAAATGGGGTGGACCCATTCCACAGGCCAAAAATCCCTGGAACTCCCTCCTGTCATTTCTCTGACAACCTTCACGTCTCACTTCTCTTCATGAATAAGACATTTTACATATATCTCACCACTGACCGCTCTTTGGAAGCAGGCATGACATTACTGACTGGCTCATCTTATAAATGTATACATGAGCTTCCCAGTATTAGGTAAATACAAAGCATTTCATTATTGATTTCGAATATTTAAAAGGCAGATTTAGTTAAGCTCTTTCAGCTCCTACACCAAATAACTGCACTGAGTAGGTACATGCCTAATGAAAGGTACCTTGTGAGGCCTGAACAGGTTTAAGACACTCCTCTGATACCAACTGGAAATACAAAGATTGACTTTTTTCCTTTAATTTATTGTTTTTCTTAATACGTATATTTATTTAAAAAAAACCTGACAGCAGGCCAAGATCAGTTTAGGATCTGTTTCATATGAGGAGTAAAGTTTTATGGTTCAGTTAAAAGACCTGAAAAATGAGGTTTCTAATGGAAATGCTGGCAGAGTTTCTACTTCTGGGCTGGGCTGGTAATACTATTAAAAAAAAAACCAGAGGGAGGAGCAGAGCATGGCTCTCCATACAAATGAAGGCGTGCTCCTTTGTTGGATCACTTGGATATGAAGCAGGAAATTAATACCCAGGATACTTTCCTTCCTTCAGTTTTGCTTCAGATTCCTGTGCAAATCGAAACTGAAGGAGGAAACACATGTGAGTGTGCATTGCAAAAGTGAGCCCCCAGGCAAGAGGGGTGGACTGGGGAAGAAGGACAGGAGGGTGCATTCAGAAGGTGCCTGGATGGTGACCTCCTTGCAGGGTGTATCCTGGATGGACAAGTCCTAATGGAAGCTCACAACGGAAAGCCGGTCCATGACAGAGGCCTGGCCACACACATGGGAATGCCTGGCCTGCCCACACCACCCATCTTTGGCTCTGGAGTGACCTGGCCACCTTGGCTTTCTGTTTACTTGCTATTGCCTCTCCGAAGGCTAAGGGGGTGTCTGGGGCTTAGCTCTGCATGGAGAGATGGCCACCTTTCTTCTTGGGTCTCTCTTTCCTCTTAGCACTGTTTCTGCCACAGTCCTCACATCACTGCAGGCTCAGAGCCACAATCACTGGCCACATTTTAGCAAATGCTGCTGCTTCCTAGAATGACACGCTTGTGTCTGTCCCAGTTAGATACTCCTTCCACCTTACTCAAAATTGAGGGATAGAAGTGAGCGGGCAGTGCAGATCTCAAGGTACAGGTCAGGCCAACAGGGCACAGGATCCCCGGGGCTGGGGGAAGGGCAGGCACAGGAAAGCGAGGTGGGTGAACATTCTGTGATGCTGGCATGAGCAGGGGGTGAAACTACTTCTTCTTTATTTGTAAGACACCTGGAGACCTGGCAGGGGAAACCCATGTTTCAAAACTACTCAAAAGCTGGGCGCAGTGGCTCACGCCTGTAATCCCAGCACTTTGGGAGGCTGAGGCAGGTGGATCACCTGAGGTCAGGAGTTCGAGACCAGGTTGACCATCATGGTGAAACTCTGTCTCTACTAAAAATACAAAATTAGCTGGGCGTGGTGGCATATGTCTGTAATCCCGGCTACTCGGGAGGCTGAGGCAGGAGGATGTTTGAACCCAGGAGGTGAAGGTTGCAGTGAACCAAGATTGCACCACTGTACTCCAGCCTGGACAACAAGAGCAAAACTCCACCTCAAAACCAACAAACGGAAAAACAACTACTACTCAAAGAGATAAATTTGGAGAAGCTCAGCCAATGAAATGAGACGAGGTGAAGGCCATGTGGCAGCAGCATGCGCCTTGACAACAGGCATCAGAGAGGCAGCTGTGGACACGCCAGTCCCTTTCATCGCTGATGCGGCCCCAGCTCCATCTGGCCCCACTGTCAGCCCAGGAGAATGCAGCTCCTAAGAAGGCTTGTTTGTTTTAACTTGTCTGCTATTCTGTTTCCACTCCAGTTCTTGCTGTATTCAACATAAACAATTTACCCACTCAGTCATGAGGAAAAACGAAAAACACACTTGACAACCAAATTTTGTGTTGTCAGGAGATGATTCAATGCCAGCCGCCGAGACAGGGGCAGGAGCAAAGGAGGCAGGGAGACAACAGGAGGAAGAGGGACTCCGGAGACACTTACCAGGGGAGGACCCCACGCCCGCCGCTCGGAACTGCCCCAGGATGAGGCTCTGCTCACTCTCCGCCAGCGCCAGGAGGAGCTCATAGGCTTCGATGCACTGCTCGCTGAAACAAAGCACACGCGGCCTCAGCCCTGGCAGGGAACAGCGGACACCTTCAATGTGGCGCAGGTTCCTGCGCAGGAGGCAGCTCAGGTGCTGTCTCGGCCTCACTCTCCACACAGGCAAGGAAACCACCCATGAATATTCCCAGGTCAAGGCCAGTGGCTTGCTCTTTCATTTGGCCTTTTTATTTTTAAACTTTTAACTTGGTTCTGGAAAAATACAACAGAAACAATAAAGGTGGGAAAGGCAAGTGTGTCATCCCTTCAGTGACCAGCTGAAAGGACCACATGATTCCCTTGTGGTAGGCCGCTCCAGGCAGTCCCGCTGAGCCCGCACCCTGGTGTCCACACCCTTGTGCTGTCTCCCATTCGCACTGTACCAGGGTTGGTCTGTGTGACCAGAGCGACAGTAGGTCACTTCCAAAATAGCTTACTAAAAGTCCCTGACTTCCATCTTGGTCATTCTCTCTCACTTCACTCTCTCTCAGACCATCCTCCCTGGAGCAGGCCAGCTGTCGTGTCTTGAAGACTCTCAGTCAGTCCTATGGAGAGGTTCACATGGGGAGGAATGACTAAGGCCTCCAGCCAACAGCCATGTGAGAGAGCCTTCTTAGAGCAGATCCTCCAAGCTCCCGCTGAGGTCTCAGATGGTATAGTCCTGGCTGACAGCTTGACCAGAATCTCACAAGAGACCCTAAGCCAAAACCACCTACTAAGCCACCCCAGGTTCCTGATCCTTGAAATTGTGATGCAGTAAGTGATTAGTCATACAACAACAGGTAACTAATATAACATCCCACAAGGAGATGGTTTTGACCTAGACCTGCACTATTCAATAAAGTATCTACTAGCCACAAATAGCTACTTAAATTGAAAACATTTTGAGTTAAATAAAATGAAAAAGTCCATTCCTCCATTGCAGTAGCCATACTTCATATGTTCAGTAGCCATACATGGCTAGTGGTTACCATATTGGGCAGTGCATGTAGAGAACAGTTCCATCATCACAGAAAAGTTCTATTGGATTCTCATAAAACTAGAAGTGCTTAAAATGTCTCATGAAACACTCTTAGGCCTTCACAAAATCTCTGACAAGAGTTTGAGTTTGGATTTCTAGGAAGAGGAAACATAGTCACTCTTCTTTGTGCCCATCATTCATTGGGCAAACAAGGTAAAATATCAAAGAACAGTTCCTTTCCTGTAGCCTGAGACCCACGTGGCCCACGTCCACACAAGAGGTGGAACATGTGCACAGCATCCTCAGGGGCCCAGATAACATGCCTGCAGTAGGAACATTTCCTCTTTAAGAAAGTAACCATCTAGCTTCTTCAAGCTGAACAGGGGATGTGTTGCCTCATTTAGTCAACAATTTGTTTTGATTACCTTTATTTTCACTGTCCTTTACTAACAGTTAAGACAAACAGCTGAAATGCTAGACCTAGGTGCTTCCAGTTCCTGGTTTCAAAGGCAGTTCATATTCCAGACATGTGAGGACACTTCCTTATCCAGGTACTAATGTGGAGAAAGACCTTTCTGCTCAAAGGCAGATGGTGGGCGGATAGCAGCCAGCTTCAAGGGTTATCACAGATGAGTTATCTGCTTGCTTTGCTGTTTGTAAACCAGAATGATTGCTTTGTAGCTTTGGTCCCATTTATTTTGGTTTGATTATTTCTTGAATAAACAAGAATGTTTCTTAAAACAATACCAAACTTTTTAGAGGATGCTAAGTGTACGATACAGTCAACTACTCTGAGGCCTTGGCAAATACGCTTAAGTGGTAATGCTAATAAAAGAAACCTATGATGATAATAATAAGGGATAGTTTTGCAGCTTTAAACAAGCGGTAATTTAAAAACAGATAAATTTCAAAGTGATGAGGCAGAAAAAAAAAAAAGCGGTCCATTCAAATTACAACTTGCTCACCAATGAGTGAATTGTAGTTATTTAAACTGGCTTGTTCTCACGACAAAAAATCAGCAGCATGCCTGAAGAGCCAGGAAAATATTCATATCCTTTGACCTACAGTTCCTGCTGCCGGATTTTATCCAGAGGAAAATATTCAAAAGAATGAAGATCTTATCTGCATTAAATTATTCATCATAGAATTATTTTTAATATTAAAAGTCTAAATGTCCTTTAGAAAAGTGAGTAAATTAACAATATAAAAACTTGATGGAGGGGTTACAGCCGTTCAGAATAAAGAGAGGCTATTAAAAGCAACATTTTACAACTATGACAAAGAAATAGAATGCACCAGATTTATAGCAATGTAAATTACATATGAATATGAATAAAAATCTGCAAGAACAAATGAACATGTAACAGACCAAAAAATCGATATTTTGAGTGATAGTACCTACATGAAATATTTAAGATGAATATGCTAGGAGAAATATACCTGTTTACTAACAGCATATTCATTACCCTTAGCTATCTGCTGGTCCAAACCGCCAGATATGCCTTCTAGAAGCCTATTTCCTGCTTTTATTCTGCAGGTTACTCTGGATGCATTTCTACCCTGAAGTAGCTCCAAACATCCCAGTGTGTGCCTTGCGCTGTTTTCCTACCTGTACTGTAAGGCCAGCCTCAGCGCTGTGGCGTTGGATTCGTATTTTCCCACCAGCATGCTCATCCTCTCGGCATTGCTTTTACATTCCTCCAGGGTTATAGTCAGGAGATCATTTTGGGATTTGAGGTGCTCAATCCGGCTACAAAGGAACAAAAATCAAGGGTTACAATTAATTTGCCAATATTTCAGTTGTCTCATTTATGTTCAGGCCAGAAAAGCATGCTAGGATGTGGGCTTGTCAGATTAGCAGCTGACACAGTATTTTGTCAAAGAAGCAACTCTACATAAAAGTATCACTAAACTCTGTGTGAATTACAAATAAAAAATAAGCCCCCTGGTTAAAAATAAGACCCCCAGCCATTGCCACGCTCACTCCAGGTCTAGCATGAGCAGGGCACAGTGCTAGGCTCTGGAGATATTCCAAGGAAAGAAGACAGCTGTGCAACCTCCAGGTCCCTATCATGTGGAACGCCTGGTGGGCTTAGATAAGTCACCCTCCACATGCAGGGATGAAAAGCAGCATCACAGCAGTCATGGCTATCTGTTAAGCCTTTGCTTTAGTGATTCTCCCAGAAGCCCTTTCAATTAAGTATTGTTATTCCCATTTCAGATGAGGAGATGGAGGCCCAGAAACATTAAGTTTCTTGCCCTGGGATTTGAACCAGATCCCGTCCTCATAATCACAAACTACAAAGAGAACCAAAGGATGAATCAGTGAGTGAATAGGAACCGCCCTGGCGGCCTTTAAGTGGGAAATGGACCAGGAGCTGTGGACTGTACCCAAAGCTCCTTTCGGGTTACACAGTCTAGCAGCTCTAACTAGTGCTAGGATAAGCATTGGGAACTTGAAGTTTTACAGGATTCAGAACTGTAGACTCAGGGCAAATGAGTTTGTGGCAAAGTCAGCAAACAAATGAATAATATAATCCTTCAGCTTCTCCATTTTCCATCTCAGGGCACAGATGCTCTTGATGCCACAATTCATTTTCCATGGGACACATCTATTTGTAGTACTCTGACCACTAAGTCTTAAAGAGAAAGAGCTTCACACACACAAACTGCAAGTGACTTGAAATGTTAAGGGGTTTGGAAGCCATCAGCTTCAAGGAAAAATCTTAGACTCACGCCTTAGGGCAGAATATGGAGACATTTGCCAACATGGAAGATACTTGGTGAGTGTAGAAGAACTAAGATCACTGCCAGGCTCTGGCCACTCCAAGGTCATTTCAAGGTAAGGTGCTATAAGAATGCTTTTCTGCCCCTGTTCACGTTAAGACTTCCTGAAAAGAGTCCCTATTCTCTCATTTACTTTTCTTTTTTTTTTTTTTTTTAGACGGAGTCTTGCTCTGTCGCCCAGGCTGGAGTGCAGTGGCCGGATCTCAGCTCACTGCAAGCTCCACCTCCTGGGTCCACGCCATTCTCCTGCCTGAGCCTCCCGAGTAGCTGGGACTACAGGCGCCCGCCACCTCGCCTGGCTAGTTTTTTGTATTTTTTTAGTAGAGATGGGGTTTCACCATGTTAGCCAGGATGGTCTCGATCTCCTGACCTCATGATCCGCCCGTCTCAGCCTCCCAAAGTGCTGGGATTACAGGCTTGAGCCACCGCGCCGGCCATTTACTTTTCAACTTGCTCCAGTCTATAGTCCGTCCCTGCTAATTAGATAAAGCCTTTATCCAACTCATAGACCTCCATGTGGCCAAGCCCATCTCAGGGCCCTTCTCAGGCAACACCTCACTGATCTGTTACTCTTCCCTTCTTAAAGAGCTCCCCTCACTTAAGCCAGGGTGGGTCTCTGCTGGTTTTCTTCCTGCCCTAGCAGCTACTTCCTCTCAGTCGCCTTTGCTAGATGCTCATTCTCTATAAAATTGGGAAGGCTTGGCATTCTCTTGGGGCTGTCCCGGGGTCCCCTCTGCTATCGACATCCCACCCTAGGGGCGATTTCTTTCCAGTCCCATGACTTTATTAGGCAGGTAAGATCCACTAGCTCCCAACTTTCTCTAGCCCAGAGCTTGCCTCTGAGGGCCAGGTTCACATCTCCAGCTGCCTTCCTGACATTTCCCTTTGCTGTCACATTGCTACCTCCAATGTAACATTCCAAAGTGGGATTCTTGATTTTCCCTGCACCTCATCCTCCCTTATCTTCTCCATCTCAGTAAATGCCAACACCGTCTACCCAACACTACACGCCAGACTATGCTTGTCCAACCTGTAGGCTGCATGCGGCCAACACAAATTTGTAAACTTTCTTAAAACATCACGAGATATTTTTGCAATTTTTTTTTTTAGTTCATCAGCTATCATTACTGTTAGTGGGTTTTATGTTCGGCCCGAGACATTCCTCTTCTTCCAGTGTGGTCCAGGAAGCCAAAAGATTGGACGCTCCTGCACTAGACCCCTGAGAATCTTTTTTGAGACCATCCCTTTTTCTCATCCAAGTGGAACCCAGCTGCAGTTTCCACTGCTTTCAGCACCGCACATGTCGTACGTGAAGCCCCTGGCCCCATCCCGCCACAGCTACCCTCGTGCACTGCAAAGATCATGCTGCTTCCACTCTTATCTCACCCTTCCCATTTTCCACACCCGGGTGAGCTTCCATAGTGTCAATCAGATCTTGTTCTTCCACATTCAAAAACCCTTTAATGACTTCCAATTATACTTAAAGAGTAAAATGTGTCCATGGCATCAAAATCCACATCTGAGCCAGCCCCTGCTCTGCCACCTCATCTCGTGTAGCTTCTTCCCCTTACTCCATTTCAGTTCCATTGGCCTTTGGACAGTTCCTCTTTCAGGCCTCATGGTTGTTAAGTGGCCATAAGAATATCAGTTTGCCATATGGCTGCTTTTTTTTTTTTTTTTTTGTAATCCATCTCAATGTAAATCTCCCCTCTTCAGACACCTTCCCTGACTACCCATCGAAAAATCAACTCTCCCTCAGCTTCTGCTGGTGTCCTATTTATTTCCTTCTTGGATCTTTCTTATCATCTTATTTGTTTTCTCCTTGGTCTATTTTCCCTAACAGAATATAAGCTCCATGAGAGCAGGGACCCTATTATCTGTTTTACTTTGCTTTGCGTGCCACGTAGCCTAGCATATAGTAGATGTTTAACACAGATTTGTTAGAGAAGGAAAACATTTTGGTGGGTACGGATGTCACCCCTCCCCTGCCAATCATGAAGCTAAAGGCTAACATACTTTGAGAGTAATAGGCCTCCAACTTTGAGGTAGGTAGTTAAAATAGCAGACATCAGGATATACTGGTAGCTTATTTCTAAGAAGCCCCAGGTTCCCGCAGCAGCTAGGATCACAGAGATGACAGTGGAGGTGAGGTCAATGGGTAAGGGTTGGAATTCCATCTCAGCTACTTAATAGCTCTGGATTTAAGACAAGTCACTCAACTTGGGACTTCAAAGTCTTTGTTTTCTCATTTGCAAAACAGGACTACTCTACCCTCACAGGTTGAGGATTAAGTGGCTGTCTGTGAGAGCCCTTTGTAAGCTGTTAAACACCACAATAACATGAGCTACCAGCAAAATATTTCTCCCTTCTTTGGTCTCTCCTGGGTGTATATAACTGAGTAGAAAGCAACTCCCCTATTCAAGTTCAGCCACAAATCCAACTTGTTAAATCCCAGAATCTGTAGAGAGGAGATCCTCACTAAATTGAGGTCCCCCTGAAGGCATCTAACTTCATTAAATTGCAAAGGGCATATCTGATTCAATTTTTAAGCACTCCCAGGCCAGTGATAGTGAAAAGATGGCTTCTTTACTGCCACTAAGTAATCATCAGGATTATCACTCTTAAGTATTCTGGATTTAATAAGGAAACCATTTAATTTCAAGATTTAAAATGACCTAGATTGTCAATTACCTTAGTTCTCAAGAACTATATTAAACAGCTTCAAATCAGGGAGGACTAACATGATAATTCAATTTATTCTGGTTTGCCATACACAAGAGGAATGGAATTAAGCAATGGTGGATGCGGAAGGGTATCCCTATTTCTTCCTGGTTAGCTCATAAGCCTTTCAAATTCTTACAGTGCTCTTCCACTAAAGATTGGTAGGTCAAGGCAGCCACACCACACTCAGATGCGACTCAACAGTCCATTCTGCCACTGCAGAACCAATTCTGAGGCCAAGTGGTTTCCATGGTTTGGCCCTGGTCCTTCTCCTTTGCTTTGTTAGCAACTCCCTCATCACTGGCATGACACATAAGAAAGTCTTTCCCAACAGGCAAAAGGGCAAACTGAAACCACCTCTTTTGAAAGACTTGAAAAGAATCCATATAACGGGATATACAGTAAAATTACTCTAGGTAGGGCAGTTAGGATGGGATGTAGGGACCCAAGACTGAGCACATTTGCAAAAAGCATAAATAAAATTAGGCAACCATCAGGAAGAGCAAGGACAGATAGACCAGCATGCCTGGTCCATGTCAGGAACGGCCCTACCAGATTGCCTTTGCTGGTTCCAGTAGCTCCAAGTGCCCCTGAGATGCTGACTCAACATTCCAGAACTTCCTTCTGTGGTTCTCTGCAGCACAGGCCTGCATGCTTGGCAGTCACCTGTGACCTACTGCCATTCTGTAGGGGCTGCTCCCAGGACTATGTAATTTGCAAGGTCCAGTGTGAAACTAAAAAAGCGGAGTCCCTTGTTTAACAGTATTAAGGCAGTGAAGCAAGCATGGTACCTTTCTAAGCACAAGGCCCATGTGAATGCCCAGGTCACAGCCATGATGGCAGCTCAGACTGTTGGGAGCACTCCTCTGAAGACCAAGGTGGCGGGAACTTCCAAACCCACCAGCCTGACAGTACTGCTCTGTCACAATACGTAAGCCACCTTGAACAGATCTTTGGAAAGAGAAGTGAGGAGTAGCAGCTCCTCCCTGCCCCAGGATCAAATCGATAGGATCTCTCCTCACCTATTTAGCCGTTCTGTTTCCACCTCAAACTCTCTAATCTTGCTTTCTGAGATGGCAGATCCGTGTGAGTAGAGTGTTTGGAAAATCTCTTGGATGTTGGAGCAGTCCTGAAGTGAGTGGGCCAGATGTTCTGCCACACTGCTGGATACCTGCAAAAAGAAGCATTAATTCCCCTTTGGAACGTGTCACTTCAGAGATGCTGGTCGCCACGCATGTTTTGTATGCAAAAGAATTTAATTCTCAAGATATTCCTTGAGAATCGGGGACTGGGAGGATGGTTACCCTAATGGTTCTCAGTTTGTATGACAGAATCCTAGTATGAAAAGTTAACTAATAAATACTATAAAAGCAGTAGAAGAAAAGAGAAAACAGGATCAAAATATGACTCCCTCCCCAAGCACGTGGCGCTGGGCAGCCAGGATGGGGAGATCATGCCTTCCTGGAGTTCCTAAAATTCTGAATGTTGAACAGAATCAGGATTTCTTTCCCCTATCCTGAATTCCCTGCTACTCCAGGTCACTGTTTTTGGTTTCTGTAGCCCAGGAGAGGGGCTGACTCCTTCATTTTCACATTTTGGCTTTGGCATGGAATCTGAATACATGCAATTTTTGCTCAGTGTAAAATTCTAAATTAGGGCCTTAAAATGCTATTTTAAGGCTCTGTCTCTGAGGATCAAATAGCTGGCTCTCTCATCCTCATCCCCAATCCTAAAAGATCCCTTAAAGAAATGAAACTAATCCTTTTCACCATCCATCAGCTCTTACAGTCCCAGGGGGTTGCCTGACTTCACAAATGAAAACTCTGGGACTAAACTGAAGGTTCTGGTCTTTCCTACCACTGGGTTAGGCTTCGAAGACAACATTCCTCCTCAGTAGAGAGCACATCCCCTTTCAAGATGGATGTGCAAAAGGCAGAGTTCTTTTAGAGCTCTTCGTCTCTGGGGTAGCAGGGTGATATAAGACAGATACTTCAAGACTTTCATCTATATCACCAAGAACTGGACCTAAATCATTTCATTCTGAATGGTTTCAAGGAAAGGAAAAAAAATCTCCCCTAAAGCTGAAGAAGTAATTCACCATATGGATGGAAATCATCATACATTGTAATTTAATCCTTTGGAAGGAAATCGGGTGTGATTTACTATTGTAACTGGTTTATTGGAGATAGACTTGGGAAGTTATTCTGTCATCTATAATCAATTGTCTGTGTAGCTCTACCGGGTACTTTCTTGCCTTGCTTCTCGTGAACACTCACCCCTATGCTACTGATTTCTGAGCCCAGGACTGGCCGATCAGATGATGATGATTCAGACCTTGTCTTTGATAGCTTCACCCTCTCAGCAATCTTAAAAAAGAAAACAAAGCATTATAGAAAACTACACACCACTCCCCAGATAAACTGTTGGGACTGTTTATACAGGGCTGTTTAGCCATGTCAACTAAATGATTAAAGAACTTGTTAAGAACAGCTCATTTGTCCAATTTTTCTACCACCAGCTTAAGCCAGGGCCTTTCAACTTCAGCACTGCTGATATTTTGGCTTGGATAATTCTTTTTGTGGGGATCTGTCCTGTGCATTGTAGGATATTTAGCAGCATCTCTGGCCTCTAGCCACAAGATGCCAGTAGCACTCCAACTGTGACCATCAAAAATGTCTCTAGACATTGCCAAATGTCCCCTGGAGGAAGAGCTCACTTCTGGTTAGAAAACACTGGTTTAACCTAACTTATTAAACTTGATAGTTAAGAATCAACCTTACTGTGGTGGCTAGTAGAGCTACCAGGCAAGCCAACAGGCATAATTTTCATCATCTGAGACAGACTCAACATACGTACTGGGGGGCTGTGCCAGCGAATGAGTGGGGCTACTTCTCACAGCTGCCACAGCCTGTCCATCATAATCTATTTTTCTTTTTTTCTGGCAGAGCTGTCAGTCTTGTGAGTGGGGAGATCATTGGTTCATTACTCAAGGTCCCCCACTGGGCTGAACCTTAGTCTTTGAGAGCAACTCTGTCCACTGTGAAGTACTGGAGCACTTGACAAAACGTCTCACTCTCCATAATGACTTGTCAGCTGTGACATTCTCCAGCTGGCTGATTAATGAGAGCTGGCGTCCAGGTTGCAGCTGAGAGAGACTTAAAACTATTAGTGGGTTATCTCTCCTTACAGCTCCTGCATAGAAGGCCTGTGTAAGGTCTCAGGGGAAGCCCCTTGGGCTGTCTCAGCTAAGGGCATGCCTGTACAGTGGCTAGGATGAGCCTGGTGCTTCCAGATAACAGGAGGTGTTCCCGCTCATCAGGTCCATCCCCAGAAACTCACCTTGGCAATGGGAATGTCATTGCTGCTGCTGCTCGTGCTCAGCTCTCCAGTGCTGGGGTTAATTGGGCGGTTGGTGGAAGTGAGGCGGCCAGGGCTGGAGGGACCTGTGGCCTGCACGCTCTGTAGTCGAGTTTGAAGCTCTCTGACCTGCAATCATAACGCTTAGACATAGTTGGTGGTTTCCCTGGCTAAAGAGCAAAACAGCCAGATGGGTAGGTGGTGGGGCTTTCATTTACATTGAGGGATCAGCCCATTGAAAAGCTAGGATGGTTGAGTTCACATAAAAGTCACTATATTCTTTTTTTTGGACTAATAACTTTTTTAAACGAATCAGTTTCTTAAATCACACGTAATACAAAAAGTAGAGTTACAAACCAAAGTGATGATATTACTAGTTTTTATAATTGCCCAAGAGTCAATAAATTCTTAACTCAATCTGCCACAGACCATCATCTATTCTTCACAAGTATGAGGTGCACATATTATATAAGGCACTGGAAGCTTCCAGGATGGATGACCATCTTGTTTTGTTTTTTTTTTTTGAGACAGGGTCTTGCTCTGTTGCCCAGGCTGGAATGCAGTGGTGCAACCATGGCTCACTGCAGCCTTAATCTCCCGGGCTCAAGGGATCCTCCTGCCTCAGCTTCCTGAGCAGCTGGGACTAGGTGCACACAACGCACCTGGCTGATTTTTAAATTTCTTTGTAAAGACAGAGTCTCGCTATGTTGCCAGGGCTGGTCTTGAACTCCTGTGCTCAAGCAATTCTACCACCTCAGCCTCCCAAAGTGCTGGGATTACCGGCATGAGCCACTGCGCCCAGGCACTGGCTAACTACCTTTAAGGAATGTTTATTCTTTTAGCCCCAAGTGCCTGACTGTGCTGGGGACTGCAGACAGAGGACCCAGGATGAAATCACCTCTCATGGAATCATCATCTCAGAGCCCAGAGGAGAGAGGAATGATTTCAACACAAGTGCACTTGAGTGTTATAAATTTCTATCTCAAGTGTTATGGGAAGCAGAAAAAGGGAAGAATGTAACTCCAGCTGAAGTCATCCAGACAAAGCTGAACGAAGACAGTGGTACTTGAGCAATCTTAAAGGAGAACAAGTGAGGATATGGCTTTCGTGATGATATGCTTGGGGGGTGATAGTGGGGGGGTGCACAGGTGCTGGGATGACATGCTATGTTTGAAGAGGTGCAAGTTATTCAATATGTGTGGTTTAGAAGAGGTGTCTGCATTGGGGAAAAGATTAGGCTAAGAGAAGAGACACTGATGGAGCCAGCACCTTTCCCCAAGTTACCTACAGATGGATTTTCCCTGGGATAGTAGGTAGGAATGTCTAAATAGTCCTTCTATACAAAAAAAGAAACATGGGGCCCTCTAAGTTACATTTAAAATGCACATTTAACTGCACAGAAATTGAACGTCCAAATCCTGCTTCTCTATAGTTACAACTCTGTGACTTCCAAAGAGAGAAGTATTCCAAGGAGCTGAAGAGCGTTGCTAGAGATTCGTCTTTTATAACCTTGGTCACAGTTTCAGCATGAGAGTACAGTGTCCACCTGAAAGGGCAAACTAACTACAGCACCCAACGGTCCTTACAAATGGGCACCAGACTTTGCCGGGCTGGGAAGAGTTAGCACTAGCAAATTTAAGACAGGGCTTTCTCAGCAAAATAGTGTACTAGAATCCCCCAGAGGGCTTGTTAAAACAGACTCCAGGGCCCCACCCCAGGAATTCTGATTTAGCAGGGTCTGGATGAAGCCCAAGATCTGCAAGTCTAATAAGCTCCCAAAAGATGCTGATGCTGCCGGTCAGGGGACCATACCTTGAGCAGCACTGACCTAAGGGACTTCCAAGGCCACAAAGCACTTTAACCCCATAGACAGGAAGAGTGGAGCCATGCCCTGGTGCCAGCCCTGCCGCCAAAAGCCTTCTAGACAAGGGCAGAGAACAGGCATGTGGCCCCTTCTCTAAAAGGCACTGGAAAGCTTTTCATATTAAATGTCTGGGATGTCTCCATCCTGCTAACTTGGGAAGCAAAAGTAATTGAAATTTCAATAATTCATCAACATATTAGAAGCTAAAATAGGAAAATTCCCTCAAAGCAAATTGCATTCAATAGTAGAACAGCTCAAAAGGGCCTAATGCTCTGCCACGGGTTCCAGTAACGGAGGATCGATGGAAATGTGTGCTGTCCTCAAAAAAGACCAGACGCAGGGCTACACTCAAAATAGCCTAAACAATAGGAAAATACATCCCTGTAGAAACCAAATGGTACTGCTGATGAAGGATTACAGGACTCATTCTGAAATGGTCCCTGACAAACCAAAAATGGGTATGGGGGTGGATACCTCATTATGCCACAAAGAAAAAATGTGCAAAGAGAGACGGCTCATTCATTCCCCCAGGGACTGGGGGAAACCTCCCAGTAGAGACCCTGAATTTCAGTTTTTACTGCTGATGAATCTGATAAGGTCCTGAATAATTAACAATGTTAACACCACTCCAAAACCTAAATGGTGTCTGAATTGCACTCAAGACCATCAGTGGTCTGTTCTTAGAATCCCTACTGGCCTACTCATCTTGCTTTTTTTTTTTTTTTTTAAATCTCTTTAAAAAAATACAGAAAAAAAAATGCCTGGGCAATTTATAAAGACTTTACTAAAACTATCCATGTTTTAAAAACATTTCTTCTTCTAATCACAAAAGTAAAACATGCTCACTGTGCAAAATGTAGATAACACTAAAACATAAAAACAGTCAAAGTGTTCATGTTATTTCTTACTTTACAGAGGCAATTACTTCTAGTCATTTCCCTTGCTGTATATATGCACACATGTGCTTAAAATAATTTCTAAATCTAAATATCTACGTTCACTTTAAAAGCTTTGGACCCAGAGAATGTCTCTGAAAACTAAAGATGATAAACATGTTTATTTTGGGCTATGCTTTATTATTTAATGATAATTGCTAGCCAGTGGAAACAAATCCAGCTGAAGGGAGTGCAGTGTGCCTGTCAGGGAAAGAAAGACAGCTGGTTAAGTGGCCTCCTCCCCCTTCTTTTGATTTACGAGTGAGAATCTTTTTTTTTTTTTTTTTTTTTTTTTTTGAGGCGGAGTCTTCACTCTGTCGCCCAGGCTGGAGTGCAGTGGCGCGATCTCGGCTCACTGTAAGCTCCGCCTCCTGGGTTTGCGCCATTTCCTGCCTCAGCCTCCCGAGTAGCTGGGACTACAGGCACCCGCCACCGCGCCCGGCTAATTTTTTGTATTTTTTTTAGTAGAGACGGGGTTTCACCGTGTTAGCCAGGATGGTCTTGATCTCCTGACCTCGTGATCCGCCCGCCTCGGCCTCCCAAAGTGCAGGGATTACAGGCGTGAGCCACCGCGCCCGGCGAGTGAGAATCTTAATGTATAGGAATACATGCAAGAAACGAAGGCTAAAGTCAATATGCTGAGTCAGCTTAGGCATGGCTTGGGAAAGAGGCAGAAACATAGTTAACAGAGTTCTCACTTTTATTCTCACCCATTGTAGTGGATTGGATTATGTCTCCCTCAAAAGATATGTCCAAATTTGAATCCCCAGTACCCATGAATGTGACCTCATCTCAAAATAGGGTCTTTGTAGATATAACTGAATGAATGATCTCAAGCCAAGATAATCTGATTTAGGGCGGGCCCTATGTGCAATGACTGGTGTTCTTTCAAGAAGAAAGGAAGGGATATTTACGACACAGACATAGAGACAAAGGGAAGAAGGCCCTGTGAAGATGAAGGCAGAGATTGGACACAAGTCAAAGAGCACCAAGAGCTATCAGAAGCTGGAAGAGGCAAGGATGGATTCTCTTTCAAAGCCCTTTGAGGGAGTGTGGCTCTGCCAACACCTTGAGTTTGGACTCCTAGACTCCAGAACTATGAAAGTTTGTGGTAATTAAAATATTCCTCCTTCACTGAAGATTTATTTTTTTGAGACAGGGTCTCACTATGTTGCCCAAGCTGGCCTCAATCTCCTGGGCTCAAGGGATCTTCCCGCTTTAGCCTCCCAAGTAACTGGGACTATAGGAGCATGCCACTGCACACAGCTATTTTTATTGAAGGAACTCTGTTTCTCTCTACAGAATATATATTTTGGAGTCGAGAGATAGCCAAGAACCAAGGGTAACCTGAGGCAGGGACTGATACTTGTGGGAACATCATTCACCACCCTTCACAGCCTGTCTCAACTGGGGTTCCTCAACACCAGAACATGACCTGAAAGGCCATTTTTTCACTTCTCCTGAAGCTACTGCATGGCTGGTAAACATTACAATGGGAAACACGCTCTGAAAGCGGGGTACCAACAAGGAGTGTCTAAGTGCAGAAGAAGAATCCTGGCTGGCCTCTGCCTTCCTAGAGCAGGCAACACTGGAACTCAATCTTGAAGGCTGAGCTGTTCAACAAGCAAATAAAGAGGAAAAGATAATGGGGGAGACTCTGGAAGTTTCAAGTAAGGAAATGACATTAAAAGGCCACAGTTGTTTCTCTCTGGTATTTCTTCAAAGGTTTTGTAAAAATCATTTGATTAGAGGAGAAAACAGACTGAAGTAAGGAAGAAAAAGTTGGTGAGCCAAGAGCTCTACTGGTGGTTCAGGTGGGAAATTATTAGTGCTCAAATACAGTCAGCGAAGTGGGAATAAGGACGGCAAGATACACTCTAGACCAGCTCCATCCAACAGAACTCCCTGTATGGACGGAAATGTTCTAGAGCGGCGCTGTCTGCTACGGTAGCCTGGTGTCACACACGGCTGTAAGCACTTGCAATGTGCCTAGTGTACCCAAGGAAATGAAGTTTTAATTGTATTGTATTTTAATTTATTTAAACTCAAACCTAAATAGCTGTATGTGGCTAGTAGCTACTGTATGCATCAGTGCAGTTCTGGAAATATTCAAGGAGGTAAAAAAAAACAAAAAAAAAACCATCCAAACTTGTGGCTGGTGACTTAGTGGATCATGGAGTTACTTAGCAATGAGAAAGGAAAACATAAAGAGAAGCTGATCTTTTCAGAAAGAAATGACCAGAGCTGACAATGTCTGGAGCTGACAATGATGTCAGCTTTGGACAGGCTGAATTTGAGAAAACAATTGAGTATGTGAGGGAGGGCTTATC